AACACCATTCCCCACCACAAAGAAAAAAAAGAAAACCAAATCCCGACGCGTGTTTCTCTTCTGTCGCTTTTTATATGTGGGTAATTGTGAGAAGAAAAAAGTCATCGGGGGGAGGGGGGCACACCACACCCCCTTGTTGGTGAATCCCACCCACACACCACTTGTGTAGCGTCGAACCCCCTGTTGGAAAATTTTTTGGAGTCGACCACCAGTGTTTTCTGAGCCCGGAGCGAGAAACAACGAGCTCTTCCCAAACACGAAAAAACGCGCGTGCGCATATGTGTGTTGTGCGTGCTGCGTGCGCCCCCCCACGTCTGTGTAATATGTGTGTGTGTGTGTGCGCCTGCGTGTGTGTGTGTGTGTGTGTGCGTTCGCGTCTTCATCAGAGGCACAGGGGGTTGGCCCGACTCTACTGTGCACGCCCCTTTTGTTTTGCGTTGCACGATACCGCGCCAGCCAGTTGCTCACCCCACCATTCTCCTCTACTTCAGGCGCTGCGGCGCAAAGCGCGATCGCACGAGCTCAAGCGGGATGCGCGCCGGCGCAAGAACGCGGGCATTGGCGGCATGCCCATCAACCCCGTGGAGCTCAAGAAGCTGCACAACAAGCGGCGCGAGCACAACCGGAAGCTCAACCTCATGGACGATTAGCCCCTTCCTTGGCGCTGTGTGTGCGTGTGCGTGTTGTGTTCTGTTCTGTTGTGTTTGTCGCAGAACGACTTGTAAACAAACACCAACAGTGTTGTCAACACCGACACGCGGTCACACACACACACACACACACACACACACACACACACACACACACACACACACACACACACACACACTCCACTCGATTTTTGGCAACGAGTCGCGCCTGGCCTCCCTTTCTGCTTTCATGATTCCCAGACTTAACTCAAGGCATATGCGAAGAGCAAGGGTGCGTGCAGGCGAGCAAGCAGACGAAACACACACACACACACACACACACACACACACACACACACACACACACACGCACACACACGCAAGTGCAAGCGACCTTAGTCGCACTGGGCCAAACATTCGTGTTTGGGGTTGTAGAGTTGTGGTGCAACGCCACGGCCACGCCACTCACGACACCGAGGTGCCACGGCCGCGCTCGATGCTGTCTGTAGGTTGGCGACACCGGGAGAGGGCCGTGTTCATTTCTCTGTCGAACACTGCCTGCAACCATGGCATCACCCCAGCGAATGTTGATGTGAAGCTGTACAACGCACCTGCAACAAGAAAACAAGACACGCATATCCACACATCCGCACATCCGCTCACAGGGCGTCGCTCTGTTCCCCTGCTTTCTAAGTCTGATTCAGACACGCCGTCATCGTCCCCCTCCTCACACTCTTCGCCCTCTTTCTCCAATCTTCACCCTCATCCATCCGTTCGTTCAACCCAATCAACCTCCTCATCGAGCACGACTGCGGC